GAGCTATTTTGTGAACATCCCTGCTGGTTATCAAAGGTAGAAAAACAACTCAACATGTTTCTGATGGGTACCCAGGGGAGAGGAAAAATTTTGAAATATGTCTTATCAGTCCCTTAATTATCCTCTATTTAGACGGTCACAAGAGTGAACATACCCTAAGCTACAGATGTGTTTTGAATTGTGTAGTTTTTTTTTATAGTGAATAAGCTGCATTTTAAATTAAAGTTTAAGCTTCTTAAAAAGCATCCTTGCAATTTCCCTTATACTTGAGTAGATTGTGTCTGTCAAACTGCTGATAGTAACTGAATCATATCATCAGATTGGATTATAATAGTATCATTTAATACCCAAAACACAGTGAGGGCCATGTTCCTCTACAAATGAATTAAACTAGAGGAGGACAAAATAAAAAGTAAAGATCCGTTGTCAGTTGAAATGGTTGTAAGATTAACAGGTTGAGTCTTGGGAAAAACTAGGATATCTTATTGAATAGAGAAATGATTCTCAACCCCGGGTACAACACAGAATCACTTAGGAACCTTTGAAACAACAGCAGATACTGCTGCCTGGACCTCCCCCCAGAGATTCTGATTTAGTTGGGGCCCAAACAGCAGTAGTTTCTTAGAGCTCCAGGTGACTGGATGCGCAGTCAGCCTTGAGAACTGCTAAAACAGGCAGATGAAAATCAAAACTGTTCAAAGAAAGCCTTTCTCAGTAGACTTAAGTAGTAACAACATAGCTATTTGACAAGATGATACATGAAAAAAAAGATGAGGGAGAGAAACTTATAGTGTAAAATTAGTAGAGGTTTACAATCCATTATTCAGTTCTGAAATATAAAAGCCCTGAAAAACAAAAGCTTTTTATAATTTACTTGGTGAAGAAAAAATCTAACCTGCTGGACATATTTAGTGGAAAAGCCTGAGGCTTTTTCTAGTCTTCCTTTCTCCCATTTGGTATGAATAGTCATACATTTTATTGCATAAATATTAATGTGTCCGATTTCTGATTACAAGTGGCGGCCCCCGAGCTCACTGAGGGTGTGATGTAAGTAGGGTACCTTTCTGAAATGGGTAAAATTTTGAATTTTGAAATTCGTCTAGCCCCAGGGGTTTCAGACCATAGTGGGGAAGGTCGTGATAGAGAAGGCCGAGGTAATAAAGTCCCGTCAGAGGAAGAATACCTTTCTCGCCCTGGCCAGTTTGGCTCAGTGGTTAGAGTGTAGGCCCACGGACCAGAGTCTTGGGTTTGATTCTGGCCAGGGGCGTGTACCTCGGTCGAGGTTCAGTCCCCGGCCCTGATTGGGGTCGTGCAGGAGGCAACCAGTTGATATGTCTCTCTCATATCGATGTTTCTCTCTCTCTCTCCTCCCACTCTATCAGAAGATAAATGGAAAAAATGCCCTCGGGTGAGAATTTTAATAAAAAAGAAAGAATGCCTTTCTCCTAATCACTAGGCAGCGGTTCAGCACGGGTGTTACCTAAAATCCAAGGCCAAGGTCAGACGCAGCTCTTGGCTCTACATGTGAGCATCTCTGCAGCCTGGTCTGAGAAATGGCTTCTTTTTCAGGGGTCCCACTTCGGGGGTTCCACTTCAGGCACCGTGAGAGAAACTAACTAAGGTTAACCAACAACACTTAAGTAGATAAAGCAGAAAAATCATCGTCCTGCAAAAGACTCTTCAGCATAACCAAGGGCCCCACAATGTAAGCGTTAAAAACATCTACCATCTCAGAAGCTTCAGAATGTCGGGGTGCAGTCGAATCTGGTAGCTGGATGGATGTGGCTCCTGCTCTCTCAGGAAGTTCTCAAAATGTGGGCAGGACGTCAGTCCTCTGAAGGCCCAAGTGGTGCTGGACTGTAGCCTTTACTTTTCCGTTCAACAGCTTTCTTGTTAGCACTTCAAGAAAATTCTAGTTTCCGTTTCTGCAGCTGCTCCGAGTTCTACGTTTCAGTATAACCCTAACAATTCTTTGCAAAGGAGGCCTTGAGTGCTAATGCGTTCTGAAGATTCCCCCTTATTAGTGGGGGGGTGCCTTCTCTTTTGATTTTCATTGTCCTCCCTTGGGCAGCCTTTTCTCTTCCCTAAATCCTTTCTGTGGTCTTTTAAGATGGCCTGTGCACCCACCTCCTGTAGGTCAGTGACAAGTGTTGATCGCTGGGGATTACACCGTAAAAAGACACACCGGTCCGTACCTCAGGGGAGCTGCCATCCAGAACACAGGCATTCGTCACACGACTGACTGAAAGGATGAAATGATGGCCAGCACCCTAAAAAAAGAAAGTACTGTGAAGAAGCTTATAACAGGATCGTAGCTCATTTGAGTTTTGCTTGATCAGTGCTTTGTGGATTGTAGTTTGTAGGAAGAATAACCTACCTCTGGGGTTTTGTCAAAAAACCTTTTGCATCCTGGCGCAGTGGAAGCTATTCTGCACCCCTCCCTGCATGAAACACTCTTCCATCCTCCCAGACTGCAGACATGCAGGGATCTAGTGTCCTAGAGCAACCTTATTTACTTTATGTTTCCAACCTTCTAAATGACCTGTGCAGTTCTTCCTCCCTACCACCTCTCATCTCCTTCCCAGCTCCCCAAAATGCTAGATTGGCTTCTTGCTCATCCCATTCCTCCCTTTCTTTCCCCACGGAATCTATGAAAAGATGTTGTGTTATTCAGTGGTAGGAATACAATAATTTCCTTTGCTGAGCTGTTTGTATTGTGAGCCTTATTTGTAACTAGAGAAAGAAAAGCTGCAGGTCTCGTGAAGAGAATTTCAGGCATGGAAAACTGGAAGAGGAGGGTGGAGAGAGCACTGGTTTGTTCCTCTGTAAGCAAATGCAGGGATGCACCAGTATCATTTTCTGCCTCTGCTTTTCTTCTGTCTCTAAGCATGCTGGGATCTTCCCCGCGAGATCATAACATTGGGCAGCCATGCACAAGATCCCAGTGAATCTATGTGGTCCGTATCTTGGCCCCACCCCCAAATATTTGTGACACTCTGAAAGAGCACATCTTGAAACGAGATGGTGATACTATAATAAAACTTACTGATAATTTTAAAAATATAAAATATGCAATAATTGATTTTTTGTTGTTGTTTTATTGTGTCAATCCTCATCTGAGGATATTTTTTTTATTGACTTTTAGATAGAGTGGAAGGGATGAAGGAGAGAGAGACACACACATCGACTGTTGCCTCCCACACAACTCTGATGGATTGGGGATCAAACCTGCATCCCAGGGACATGCCCTTGACCAGGAATTGAACTTACAACCCTTTGGTCCGAGGGCTGATGCTCTAACTGCTGAGCCAAACCGGCCAGGACTGTTTTATTGGTTTTTTATCTGACTACCAGCACAAGTATTGGTGAAGGTTTTCCTGTGGTTACTCATCACTTCTGTCTCACCCGGCCCACTTTTTCCCTGTAAGATCTTGAACTGCAAGTTTTCCTACCATGAGCGTTTTCAGAGCTCAGACTTCCAAGGCTGAAGAGCAACTGATTATCTTCTCATTACTGTATAATTTTCCAGAGAACGTCTTAAGGTATCAAAGAATCAGCTAAATCAAGAATGTACACTTCTGAATGGCATTCGGACGTCCAGCCCGGGAAAGCTTGGCCACATGGTGCCAAGGAGGCTGCCTCTTCGGGGTGATGACTCCCTGGCCCTCGTGGGAGTGATCCTAATGGAGTCCCAGTGTCTAGCATATGTGCCACTTCTGCTTGCAAGTAAATTAATATAAATTAGATTAATTTCAACAGCAAATCGTCTTTAACCTTGAACGTCTATGTTCTCCCTTTAAAATGTCATTATCAGGACCCTTCCAAACTCACCAGCACCACCTCCAAACCCCTGAAGGCACACACACTTCTGAGCTTCTAAGCTTGTGTGGAATGAGCTTGCTTGTTGTGGACTTTTTAACTGTTACCGAGCACAGATTTCCTGAAGATTATCTCTGTTACTTTTTTTTTTAAAGTGATTGTGGTTAACGTTTTTGGGTCTCTTTTATGTTCTTTGGGAAGGCTTTTAGGAAAGGGTTTAAGCACTCAGAGTGTATGGGGTTGAGAGACAGAGAGTGAGAAAGCAAAAATCTGGACAAATAGGTGGGGGTCATGGCACTTAGGATTCTGTTCGTCTTGTCTGTTCCCATTCCACCTACCCCACGAGTCGGTAGCACTTGCTTTTATGTGCCATGTTTTCCGAACTGTTTGCTAGAAACCTGTCAGACTTCAAGTGGATATTTATTGTGTTTGAGCCGAGGTCCAATTAAACCAGGGTCACTTATCTTATTTTCTTTTAAACATTTTTTATTGATGTTTATTTTTTATTTTTTTAAAGAATAGTTTCTTAATTTCTTTTAGCAAGAGAAGAAGGGAGAGGGAGAGAGAGAGAAAGAGACATTGATGTGAGAACACAATGTCTACCAGCTCCCTCCTGTACACCCCTTCCTGGGGATCGAGCCCAGAACCTGGGCATGTGCCCCGACCAGGAATCAAACCGACAACTTTTTGGTGCATGGGACAATGCCCAACCAACTGAGGCACACTGGCCAGGGCCAGGGTCAACTATTTAATTGTTCTGGAATTTCTGTGTACACTAGAATTTTTGAGGGATAAATAATAGTTCATATCTTTGCCAACATATATGCCTGTTGTAACCATTTGTTATTTCCAATATTTTTGAGTGTTTTATAAATATATTTTTGAGGTTCTTCCCATCAGTATGGCAAAAATACCGATGTTTACAATACATACATTCTGGCAACCGTCTGATTTCTTTTTAAAGTAAGTTAGTATGATTCTTTCAGATTTTTGGCCGATAATTTTTATGCAGAGGTTTTTCCACGTCATTAAAATCAAACAAAAATCCAAAAAGTGGAAGCAAACTTAGCTCTGATTGCAAATGCTCTTAATTGGGGTTGCATATGTAAAAAACAAAGTACTGCTTTTGATGGTTACATTTTTTTTATTCTAATTGATTTTTTCCCCTAATATTTTATTAGGTGCAGAGAGAACTAGCAGCTGTTATTGCTTTGAAAGCGAAGAAGTCTGGTGAGTCGTCTTTCATGGACCTATGGAAGGTTTTCTTTCTTGGGGAATATTTCATACAGTGTGTGGTAGTGAGCAGTTGAGTGCATCTGAAGAAGTTTTGATGTAGAATGCAACAAAGTATCATTGTTTGTTTTTAAAATCATGTATTCTACCACCAGAATAGCACAGGATGTTACATATGCTATTTCAAAATTTCGCTGCCGTGCTTTATTTTACATTTCAAGGAAAAAATGAAATTAAAAATGTTTCTAGTTTGTTGCAACCATGAAAAAAATCTGTGTATACAACCAAAAGCAAACACATTGCGTTGCTTATTACAATGAAAGAGGAAAATAAATAACATCAAGGTTGTGTTTTTTTAAAGATATATTTTTTTGTCTCCAAGTAGTTTCTTCTAAAAATAATTTAATTGGTAATGAGATTTAGAAGCCAGTATTTTACATAGGAGTGATTGCATGCTTCTGATTCCTGATACCTGTGGGACACAATCCGTGGAGTGATAGGGGACAGGGAGCTGTCAAATACTCTTTGAAGGAGAGGCTGAAATCCAGTATGAAATGGAGACGCACGGAGGGAGAAAAACACTTGCCGAGGGAGGAGCGGTGGCAGAAGGAGGCATCCTTTCTGTTCAGAGGGAGGAGGCCGGTGCCGAGTGGAATGACAAACACAAGGCAGATGCTTCTTGGATCATGTCAAACTAGAATAAGGCTTTTCAGGCGGGAAAAACGAAGACAAAATAAAAGAGATGACAACATTTCAAGAAGTAAATGGAATAGAAATATCTTAAGAACACAAGCCATACATTTTTACATCTTTTTTTTTTCCAGTTAGAAACTTCAAGAATTTGCTTTTCTCTCAGTTACTTATGGAATCATACACACCTTAGTATGAATTAGCTGATTATATGTGTACTAATGTTTGTGGGTTCGGCTGCCAGGGAGGACACAGAAACCGGATGCTGTAAAGGTGAAAGGGAGGATGCCAGGCACAGCAGCCCCGACCGTAGGTTGCTGCACAGAGCGGGCAGTGTGACTAGAGCTCCCCGGCGGGCAGCGTTGGCTCGTGCATATTTGCGTGGGTGGGGGCCGACGTGGAGATGGCATCAGTGCAAAGGCTGTAGGAGGGCGGGCGTAGAAATACCTTGTGCTGGAGCTGATCTTGGTCCCTGTAATGCTAAGGGGGCAGACTTACAGTCTGTACGAGTTGGGATGGCAGTACCTTGGAGAATTTTTTTTTTTTTTAATTTCAGAAAATATTGGGAAAATAAAAATAAAATAAGAAACACTCAAGAGTGTGTCAATGCTAGAGGAAAAGAGAGCAAGTAAATATAGACAGGGAGGCTGGAGAGGTGGGTTGTTCATTTGCACAGCGTGGGGACTTCTGAGCAAAGACCTGAAGTCAGTGAGGGGGTGAGCCCTGCGGACCCAGACACAAGCATTTGGGCAGACGTGTGTGAAATGTGTTTGAGGAACAGCAAGGAGGTGACAGTGGCTGCAGCCAGGTGCACAAGGGGAAAAGAGGTAGTTTGGATGATCAGACTAAGAAGTGTGAACTTTCTGAGGGGAAGGGAAATGAAGAAGAGTAAGGCCCATGCGTTAGGTTGTGCAGAGTCAGAGATGGGTGAGAAATCTGCCGTATCACGCCCTGATGTGGCTGTGTGAAGTTAGAGTGTCTGTTTTTGTTACTTGTTTGATCTGTGGAGCTTGGAATGTGAACACAGCTCTGACAATGTCAGGGACAGAACACAATGCTCTGTCTCACATACGCTAACGATGGGGACATATACATGGTTTCTTAGGACAGCAATGTTTTGGTATTCTAGTATCCCTACGTCTATTATCCAGTAACTCCATAAATGGCATTCCGGCTACTGGGCATAATCAGAGATGCATGTAAAGATTCAGACAGGGGAATCTATTGCACTGTTGTTGTTTTTTTAACAATAAGAAATTAAGAACAATCCTTAAGTCTCCATAGCAGAGAAATGGTAAAATTGAGACATCAGTATAATGGATGTTGTACAGCTTTTTATTTTTTATTTTTTACCATGATTTTGTTTGTATCTTTTTTTTTTTATATCCTCACCCAAGGACATTTTTGCATTTATCTTCAGATAGAGTGGGAGGGAGAGAGGGAGGAAGAGAGAGAGACAAACATCGATGTGAGAGAGACACATCGATTGGCTGCCACCCACAAAACCCCAACCAGGGCCAGGGACAAACTGCAACCGAGGTACGTGCCCTTAGCAGGAACCGAACCGGGGTCTCTCTGATCTGCAGGCTGATGCTCTAACCACTGAGCAAAACCGGCCAGGGCTGTTGAACAGCTTTTAAAGTTATGTTTTGAATACTTAATATAATACAATGTTCAGTGGAAAAAATACACAATAAGCATATATTACTTCTTCTTTTCATAATAAGAATATTATTATGAAAACTAAAGAACTTTAGTTTTTTCTTTTTCTTACAGTTATGGTATAACATGCTCATTAAAACAATTTTTGATAATGCATGAATGTATGAAGAAATTGAAAAATCACCCATGATGTCACCAACAGAGATAATCACTCTTGCTCTTTTCAAAAATGTTTTTTAAATTTTTTAATTGAATTTATTGGGGTGACTTTGGTTAATAAAATTATATAGGTTCCAGGATCATTGGTGTGTTCACCACCCCAAGTCAAGTCTCCTTCCATCACCATTTATCCCCCCTTAACCCTCTTCTCCCTTCCCCCCCTCTTTCCCTCTGGTGGCCACCATAACTATTGTCTGTGTCTATGAGTTTTTTTCTACTATTACTCTTTTCTTGTATATATTTCCAGACATTTCTTTATTAATATGTAGATATTATATTATTATATATTAATATGCAGATTTTATAAAAAAGCGGACTCATGTGCTCTCTTATTTTGAGATAATCGTATATCCATATGCAGTTATGAGAAATAATACAGAGATCTCATGTTCCCTTTACCCAGTTTCCCCTACATGGTAACATCTTGCAAAACTCGAAAACAGTATCACACCCAGGGTGTTGACACTGATCAGACTATTTCCATCACCACAAGGAGCCATCGCGTTGCTCTTTTAGAGCTACAGCAAGTTTTCTCCTACCCTGCCCCCTCCTTAACCCCTGCAGTCACTGATCTGTTCTCTATTTCTGTAATCTTGTTATTTCAAAAATATGATATAAGTGGAATCCTACAGCATGTAATCTTTTGGGAGTGGTTATTTTCACTTGTCATAATTCTCTGGAGATTTCATTCTGAAGGTTATTTCATGCATCAACAGTTCATTACTTTTTGTTGCTGAATAGTATTCCACCCTGTGAGTGTATGGCAGTAAATTTAATCATTCTCCGTTGCAGGACATCTGGGTTGTGTCCAGTTTTGGACTATTATGGACAAAACTACATGTACAGACATTTATGTATGGGTTTTTGTGTGAATGTAAGTCTTCATTTCTCTGGAATAAATGCCCGAGAGTACAATTGCTGGGGGTGTTTGGTAGTTGCATACTTAGTTTTTTAAGAAACTGTCAACTATGTTTCTGAGTGGCTGTAGCGTTTTTTGTTGTGGTGGTGGTTGTTAAGCCTCACCCACAGATATTTTTTCCATTGGTTTTTAGATGGAGTGGAAGGGAGAGGAAGAGAGAGAGAGAGAAAGAGAAACATCCATGTGAGAGAGATACATAGATTGGCTGCCTCCTGCACAACCCCAACTGGGGCCAGGGATTGAATCCGAAACCCAGGTGCATGCCCTTGACTGGGAATCAAACCTGAGACCCCTTAGTTCGAAGGCTGACACTCTAACCGCTGAGCCACTCTGGCCAGGGTGGCTGTCACATTTTACATTCTCACTTGCAATATATAGGTGATCCAGCTTCTCTGAATCCTTGCCAGCATTTGTTATTTTTTATTTCAGCCGTTCTAATAGGAGTGCAGTGGTATCTCACTGTACTTTATACTTGCATTTCCCTAATGGCTAACTTTAGCAAACATCTTTTTATGTACTTATTTGCCATTTGAATGTTGTCTTTGGAGAAATGTCTGTTTAGTTTATATCTTTTGCTTTTTTTTTGTAGTTGGATTATTTTCCTACTGTTGTTTTTTTTTTTTTTTTTCAAAATTATTGCTTTACTTTCTAACACTGAACTGTCTTTAAGCATCACTGCTCCCTCCGCCACGTGTGATTTGTCTGACAGTCACTTTCAGTTTAAAATTCAGTCTCTTTCTTGGAACTCTCAGCCTCCTTGGCACTGTCTACTCCTATCCCAACTTCTTTCTTCGGGGGAGGTGTCCTGCTGCTGAGCTCACGTCTGTCTTGCTGGGCCCCTCGGAGGCCTCCTGACCTGGGCCTGGGTACCAGCCACCTTCCAGGCTGCATCCTCTTCCCAGGCCCAGCCCCCTTGGGATAGCTGGCTGCCCCAGGATGTGTTCCCTCCTTGGGTCTGGGTCATGGAGCAGTCTGCGAGTATGTTATGGCCTGTCCACCGGCCCCTCAGGTACCACTTCCTCCTTTCTGTGGGAGCAGGACTTCTTTGAGAGGTGGGCACTCTGCCTGGGCTATGTTCAGAACAGTAACATTTTTTTTCATCCACTCTCATGTTAACCTAAAAACAGAAGGCTTTCAAAGTGTGAGGCTACAGGTATTTATTTGAGATCAAAGCATAGCTGTTTGGGAATCACTGATTCAGGCAGCAACCCAAGCAGTGTTCAGTTAGAAGACACAGATGACGGGTATTAATGAGAAAGGGAAGGGAACAATGAGATCAGTAGAAGGAAGGCATTGCCGTTGGTGCAGGTGAGCTAACACAGTGATGCTAGTTCTAAATTGTTTTTTAAATTCTTAGTCTGTTGATCTTGATCTCTTTGTTAATTTTATGAATCCCGTTTTTCCTTCGACTTCTGTAAATCTTTACCAAGTTCACTTTATGTTGTTAATTCCATTTTGATTTTATTTACAATTCTTTTTGCAGATAAAACACATTTGTAGGAACATT